GTATCTATGAATCCGTTTCTGTTTTGGTTTGTTTGTTTTGTTTTTAAGATTACACATGTAAGTGAAATCTTATGGTATTTGTTTCTCTCCGCCTGTAAAGTCTTTTTCTCATATTAAGCTATCCAGCTTTCCTTTGATTAGTATTTGCATGGTATATCTTTTTCCATCTTTTACTTTTAGCCTGCCTATATCATTATATTTAAACTGAGTTTCTTGTAGATAGCATCTAATTAAGTCATTTTTATCCACCCTGATAATCTCTGTTTTAATTGATGTGTCATTAAGCCACATATTGATATTGATATGCTTGGGTTTAGCTCTGCCATTTTATTGTTTGTTTACCATTTGCTCCTGTCTTCTTTTGGAAAATTTGAACATTTTTCTAGAACTCCATTTTAATTGATCTACTGATTTTTACTATATCTTTTGTTATATTTTTTAAGTGGATGCTCTAAAAACTACAAAACACATGTTTAACTTTTCACATTCTATTTAGAATCAATATTTTACCACTTCAAGTGGAGCGTAGAAACCTTGCATCATATAAGTTCCTTTATACTCCCTCCTTTGTATTGCAACTAATTGTCTTACGTTTTACATCTACTACATTGAAACCCCATCAGACAATGTTGAGAGTTTTGCTTTCAGCTGTCAAACGTATTTTAAAGAATTCAAGAGGAGAAGAATAGGTTATTAAATGTACCCAGATATTTACCATTGTGGCTGTCCTTTCTTTCTTCCCGATGTTCCAAGTTTCCTTTTATATAATTTCCCTTCTAACTAAAAAATTTTCTTTCGTCCACCCACTGAGCCAAACCGGTCCTGGCGAATTATCTTAGTTTTTCTTTATCTTGGAATGTCTTTACATCATCTTTATTTCTGAAGGATATTTTTGCTAAGTATGTAATCCAGGACCACAGCTACTCTGATTGGAGAAGTTTCTCCTCCCTCCGAGTTTCAGGCACCTATGGGTCCCTGTTGTCACAGACACCACTGCAGGATTGCTTGGAGGCTGGGTCATGAGACAATGGAGAAGAGACTAAAACAGAAAAGAACAGTTATTTGCCCCACTCACCCTGAGCATCAAGGGGTCTCCTTTCCTGATCTTCATGTCAGAACTAGGGAGCCTCTTTGCAGGCTCTCTCTGTTTATTCCCTAAATTCCAGATTTTGGCTGCCTTGAAACCAGGCCAGGGGACACCAGAGGAAACAAAAATGGTGAATTCGCTAGTTCAGTGGCCTTCTCCCCAATTTGCCTGCTAATATTTTCTCTTCAGATTCCTCAAGTAGTTGCTCTCTGCATTTTGTTCAGGTTGTATTACGGCATTCAGTGGGAGCAGTGTGCTTAGCAGTGGAATCAAAATTGTTTTGAAACTAAACAAATTTAAGTATTTCCCAATTAGTACAAAACAAAACTACTGATTTCTTTTTTTTTTTAAATATATTTTATTGATTTTTTTACAGAGAGGAAGGGAGAGAGATAGAGAGTTAGAAACATCGATGAGAGAGAAACATCGATCAGCTGCCTCCTGCACATCTCCTACTGGGGATGTGCCCGCAACCCAGATACATGCCCTTGACCGGAATCGAACCTGGGACCTTTCAGTCTGCAGGCCGACGCTCTATCCATTGAGCCAAACCGGTTTTGAAAACTACTGATTTCTTTAGAACAATTTTGCTTTATACTTAAAATCCTCATTTGCAATTTACATTATAACTAAACACTAGTTCTTTTTTTAATCACATGTTTTATGATGCAGAGGAGAGAATTATTTATTGCCTAACACCATTCCAGATGGGAGTATTGTGGGTGAAAGTACTCTAGTTTTAGAGAAATTCCTTGTGGAGATTTCTGGGAAATGTAGTCTTCTAAGTATCAAGCAAAAATACATGGGGGTCAGACAAAAAGGTATATTTTTAATGAGGATCAGAAATTATCTCCTGATTTAAAAAAACATGGCTTCCTTTGATTTTACTTTAAGTGTAAAAAAGTCACTTACATAATTTAGGTGGGCCTTAGGGCAGATAAAACATTTCATCAATTAACTTGCTAATATAGCAATAGGTGTTTTTTTAGACATCAGGCCTCCTTTCACATGGCTTTTTTCACTACCGTTTCCTATTCCTGCTACAAATGCTCTACATGTTTTCCCACAAAACATAATGTAATAATGGTCATCTGATAGAATTCAATTTAATTGAATAGCGGGGGAAAAAATAACCAATGCCAAAAAAAATTATAGGCCTTTATTGCAAAATTATAGGCATTGTTGTAGAGTGATTTACCACAAATCAGAGCTGCAGAAAAAGATTTCACTTTGAGGTGGGCTTTCTCTGGAGCACACCCACAACTTTCTTCCCTCTCAGGTGTACATCTTTACTTTTCTCTCCTAGAAACTCTAAGGGTTCCCACGAGACTTGCAACCTGGGGAGCAATAGCAGTGGCGGCTCGCCCCAGGTTTACACCCTGATTCTGTTTCCAAGGCCTCCTTTCCTCTGACTTTTCAGTGAGCTAACAGCAGCCCACGGTGGCTCACTCGCTATAACGTCTCTAGAGAGCCACAGTGAACACCACCTAGTCTCTCCCCTGTTGCTTCTTCTATCCTAGACTTTTCAGTGAGCTAACAGCAGCCCTGCCTAGACTCACTTCCCTCACTGTGACTTTTACTTCTCAGTGAATTCACTCAGCCCGGCGTGGCTCACTTCTTTCTTATAACATTCCTAGAGAGTAAAAACAGAGTACCGCCTGGGCTCCCTCCTGTTGCTTCTTCTACCCTACGACCTTCCTTTGTCTCACTGTCCTCAGCTTTAATAAACGTACCTCAAAACCAACTGGACTCATGTTGTGAGATCTTTCCTGCATGAAGTCAAGAACCCACCCAAGACTGGCCAGACCAAGAAAGATCCACTCCAAACCTGTTTTTTTTCCCTGCAACAAAACCGCATGAAAGCACTACCCAACCACTTCTGTAAGCTACACACTTAAGAGGCAGGCTCAGTGGGCACCAAAGCCCTGCTGCAGGAAGTCCTGCTCCAAGGGGAGGGACCTTGCAGGGCTGATCCTCCATGGTGGTCGCGGCCAGTCCTTGCAGCTGACCAGCTGGGAGGTAAATCACTTCCATTGATGTGCCAACAGCAATCAAGGTTCAACTACAAGAGGAGGGGGGAGGAGAAAAAAAAAAAGACTGAACTTTGAAAAGTAACAGTTAATTGAACATTTATTTTATTTAATTATTATTTCTTCATGTACATTAGAAATATTAACCAGGCCAGTAGTGCAGAGTCACATTACAAAATCCGTGGAGTAACTTTACAAATTCTTCTGAAAAGGTCAGCTTTGGGTGGAGAGTAGAGGGTTCCGAGTTCAGCCTCGCCTCCAGTAGACAGAGACTTAGGGACTTAAGAGACCAGGATGGCAAATGACCTAGTGTCCTTAGAGAAGACTAGGGCCTGGCACAATGTGCGCTTGCTCTCTCGTTCACTTAGTCATATCTATTGAGCACCTACTATGTGCTAAGCACTATTCTATAGATAAAACAAAGTTCCTTCCCTCATAGAGTGTATATTCTAGGAGGGGGGGGTGATAATGACAGACTAACAAATAGTAAATAAACAACACATCAGCTGATGGTGAAATGCAGCAAAACTAGAGCAGAGGGAGAGGGGAAGAGGGAGTTATTTTATGTAGGGAGGTCAAGAAAGGCCTCCTTGAAACAGTGACACTTGATCACAGTCCTGGAAGTGAGGGGTGGTTTTGAGCAGAGGAATGACCGGTCAGGTAGTTAGGGCTGGTTCAAAAGGAGGCAGCCCTTGCCCACTGCTCCCCCTTCCCACGTGAGCCACATAAGAAACCGGGCCCACAGAGCGAGTTAACGTCTCTCTTGTGGAGCTAGCGCTTGTTGCATAGCCAGAAGTGAAAGGGTGAGCGAGACAATCCAGTTTCCTGGACTTTCCCCCCATGCTTCCCCGTGATAGTGATGGAAGGCAGTGGGGAAAAATGTTTCATGAACATTTATTTTTAGGTTGTGATTGTTTCTCTTTCCACCTTTCCAATGAATCACCATCTTAACTTCACAGAAAAACATGTTCGTTTTCAGATATTTAAGATTCTTGCTATCATTTTTGTAATAGTCCAAGTGCAGTTTGCATTAAATAACCCTGGTACTCAGAAATACTTGGTTTGGGGAGTGAAATATGTTCCTAAAGGAATTCAGATCACAATGTTTATTTCATGTAAGCCAACCGTGTGCCAGGAAGCCAGATGGGTATCAGCATCCCATGTTACAGAGCAGAAAGCTGAGGCCCAGAGAGGTTCAGGGACTCGCCCAGGGTCACACAGCCGCTTAGTGAACCAACGCACGTTCCGCGATGCCCCACCGCCCAGTACAGACTGGTGTGTCGGTGGCAGAGGACGCCGCTCTGCGTGCTCGCGTGTCCGCTCCCACGCCCTCTGGAGCAAGGGGCCAACTATCTCTTTAAGAAGGAAAGTGAAGACCAGCCGCTTACGCAGCTGCCGGCGAGCCGCCGACTGGCTCATCCCTTCCATCCACCTCACCCTCCCCGCCCCGCCCTCCCGGCAGCCCCAGCCCCGGCGAGCGCCCAGTTAGCCGCTTCCAGCAGGGGCTCCGGAGAGCAGCTCGGCAGCCCTGGCCGGGCAGCCGAGGCCATGGCAGCCTCCACAGGTGATGACAGGGTCTCCGGGGACCTCCGAGCCCACCACCCAGCGGCGCCCGCCGCAGCCCGGGGTGCCCAGTGCGGGGTGGGGGGAGGGGAGGCGCGCACCGCCGGGAGGAGCGGGCCCGGCGCCCGGCAGGCAGCCCGCCCTCCAAGCTCTCCGGCTGCGGCGGCCCAGCTGTCGGCGGCCGGGGGCTCCCCTGCCCGGGGTCCCCGCCCGCGTTCACCTGCACCTGTCTGTCTGTTTTCCCCGCCGCCGCAGGTTGCTGATCGCGGCCGGGCAGCTGCAGCAGCGACTGCAGAGGCGCTGCGCCAAGCCGGGCCGGAGCGGTGCGAGCCCGCGCGGCCGCAGAGGGCGAGTGGACTCAGGTGAGGAGGCCGCGGCGACCCGGAGGGGCCCCTGCGCTGCACCGCGGCGGGTGGCGGGCGGGGGCCGCTCGCTGCGGTAGAATCCGCAGAGGGCAGCGGCCGAGGAGGGGTTAACTGTGACTCACTCATACCCTCCCTTCCTTCCCCTACATCCTTCTCATTGCACCCCCACCACCGCCACCACCGTGAAATTCACAACTAGAGGGTACTCATTGCCACAAGGAAGATGCCCCAGGTGGGCGATGAAGAGGGCGTTAGGGACTCCCCGCATTGCTGTCTGTCTTCCTCTCCCAGCGTTTGGCAAACACTTCGCCTCTTTCCTCTTGGAGGAGGAGCAAGGCTCCCTGGGGGTGGAAGAAGGCTGGAACCCCACACCCAACCCAAGGTCAAGTACCATACCATATCCCCCTGAGAAGTATCCGGGCCCTGCAGTAGATCAGGGGAACATGCCCGTGACCTCTAACGCGGGAGGTCCCGGCCCTACTCTCCCTGGAGCTTCCTGGGGTGGGATGCTCCCTCCTTCCACTCCTCGGCAGGGAGCTGGGCTGTTGGGAGCACCCACTGGCCTGAGCAGCCCCGTATTCCTTCCCTCGGCCCTGCAGATGAGGGAGGCCTGTTTCCTCTGCCTTCTCTGCCCATCAGGTGGTGTGGGATGAGCTGGAGTTGCTCCCCAGAAAACGGTGGTGTCTGCAGGCAGGGTGGGGTAGGGAAAGTGCCAGCGATTGGGGTCTGGCCCCTTAGCTGGCTAGTAGGCGACTAGTAGCCATTTTAAAATGCTCCAGGCGTGGGTGTCTGTCTGCTCATCTGTTCGATGCAGGAGTTGGATTAGATGGTCTGTACAATGTTAATATGCCACTCAAGCAGCTTTAACGTGGCAGGAGACCCGTCTCTTAAAGCAACCCAGGATTTAAACTCGAGTCTATGAAATCATTGGGGTGATCTCTCTCAACTCTGGACTTCTCAAGTGAAACACTGACCTTGTGGGTCTCGTGGAACTGGAGGCACCAGGCAGTCCTCTGCTGGCATCCCTGTGCCGTCACTAGGGTGACCTTTGTCAAGTCACTCCCCTTCCCCAAGCTTCAGTTTCCTCATCTGTCAATCGGGAAGAAGGGCACACGTCTCAAAGGGTTGATGTTGGGATTAAAGGAAACACTTAGAATTGTACCTGTGCCTGGCACATAGTAGGTTTTCAGAGACACGGGAACTGGGAGATAGACTGAGGAAAGAGGAGTAGCTGCTTTTAGTCCTCTTCTCTCCGCCCGGTACCCCCACCCACCCCACCCCAGCAGCCTCTTCTACATCCCTGCGGATGGTGTCCCTGCCAGGGGCTAATGATGCTGGAGTGTGTTGGGCTGCTGGGCTGAGGGCCTAGGAAGCCACATTCCCACTGCAAGGGCTATGACATCATTTTAGCAAAAGATGGTCCCAAAGAGGCATAGATAGCCCAGCCCTGGGTTTGGAAAATCTTGGCATCTGAGGGCAGAGTCGCTAAGGGAACAGAAGCATCAGAATCTTGTGTGCCAGCAGGGGGTGGGGACCAAGGCTTCCTGGTTTCAAGTGGACCCCCTGCTGGTCCCTTGTCCTCTCGGGAGTCTCTTACTAGAAGCTCCCTGAGACGAGGCAGTCACTTGTTTAGTGTCCATCTTTTCTATTCTTTATCTCCTTCCCTGCTGTAATTTCCAGGCTTGCACTTACCCTGTCTCTCTCCAGCCTAGTCCACACATACCTTCTGCCTCTTGATGGCATGATAAAGATGGCGCCCCAGGGGGTGGGGCAGGGACTTGGCTGCTGTACCCTTTGGGTCAAAAGAAGTTGTGGTGTCTCCACCTACCTACATCCTCCTGGCAGAGGCCCTGTCTTTCCTCTCTATGTCCTCAACCTCTGGTCTGTGGCTAGGCACAAAGTAGGTCTTCAGGAAGATTGAGGAAATTATGTCCCTGAGCCAACTGGGTTAGGGAGAAGTTTTGGGAATGTGTTGATGGTGTAGGTGAAGGCACTTTTAAGTACAGGGCATTGTGCAAGTTCCTGGTTGTCACTTCTGTTGTTAATACGGTTGTTATCGCCATTGCCAGTGGCCAACAGCGGTTTTACCTTCTCAAGTCAGGTTTAAAGGGGCTAGCTGTGCCTGGGAGAGGGGTGTCGTTGGCAAACAGGTGGTGCTAAGATGAATATGAAGGGAAGAGGATTGGGAAGAGAGTGAGTCCAGCCACTTGCTGTGTTTGTGGGGTAGAGGCAGATGAGCAGAATCAAGTGAGCCAAAATGGATGCACAGTAGAAAACCAGGAGACCCAGGTCCCAGGTCTCATTCCACCACCTCTCTGGGTGACCTTGGGCCAATCACACCTCCTCTCAAGATCTGGGTCTCCAGCTATAAAGTGAGAGGACTGAACTACATGATCCCTAAGGTTCTGACATTTTTAAGTGGATTTTGTTAAATAAAAATGGGACTGTTACTGCTCTCAGTATCATTGATGGAGTGCCAGCCCATTCCCTAGCTCATGTAATTCTCATTAAAAAGCATACCCATTTGAGAAAGGATGAGGCTGAGGCTTAGAGAGACTGACTTGCCTAAGATTGCACAGCTGGAAGGGGCAGAACTATTATCTGACACCAGGTCCACCTGACTCGAAAGAGCATGCTCTTGCAAAAGTTTCACTGGCCCCCGTCAGACCTGCTGTCATCGCTGTGCGTGTGTGTGCGCTGCACGTGCGCACAGCGGTTTGGAGAAGGGAAAGGCATTTCCCTGAAGTGATTACTGCAGCGGACTTGCTGGGTGGAAACGTGCATAAATCGGTGCTGAAAAGTCTTCCTTCACTGTGACCTCTGCTGTGCTGGTGGGTGGTGGGTGCCCTTTACCACGGAGCATGGCTCAGAATGAATGCCAGTCAGGACAGACAGGCTTCCCATGTGCTGTGTGGTTTCCACAGGGGCACTCATTTACTCCTCAGAAAATCCCGTTATGTGGGCGCCATAATTTTACCCATTTCACAAGTGAGAAAGTCAGGGCAGAGAGGCAAAGGGTCTTGCCCAGAGTTACACGGCGAATTTGTTGTGAAACCTGAGAAAGTTGAGCTGGAAGCGCGCTGTCCTGGGAGTCAAAGAGTTGCTTTCAGTCTGTGCCCTCTCATTGACTGAGTAGCTTTGGGTAAACCAGCTTCCCTCTGAATGTCGGTGCTCCCGTCCCACAAAAGGACTGGATGAATCTACTGGCTGTAAAAGACCTAAATGCCACCTTGTCCCAGAATAGGCGTGAAGGGGATTCCTTGTCCAGAGAAACGTTAATCAGCATCTGTTTGTTATTTATTACCCGCAGGGTAAGTGCAGGGGACACAGGAAAGAGTAGAGTTGATCTTTAGTTTTAAGAAGCTGACGAAAGAGACAAATATCTAAATGTGTAGGTATGATAAACCGTCTAGGAACTGTGATAATCCTGATATGGGCTGTGATGGGCCTGGGGGTGGGAGGGGTGGTCTTTTCTACTCAGAGGCCAGGAAAGCATTAGAGAGCTGATACCATGGTCAGCTCCTAATTTTCGGCATTGAGTTTATGCAAGAGGATGATGATGAGGACAATGATAAATGTTCTACCCAGCTTAGGATACTTCCAAACAGTTTTAAAGTCTTGTTGACTCTTGATCCCAACAACCCAAAAAGTAGCCACAGACATCTGAGGGACAGCTCAAGCTCACTGTGTGGCACCCTTCCAGTGGAGCTACCCGTGTGCCCCAGGGGGGCCTCAAGCTTTCCCTCCTCAGGTGCTTATGGAGGCGGGACTCTGAAATTCCTCTTGGAAAGTCTGTCAGGTGCCTACAACTTGGGGAATCTTCCTCACGTCTGTTCTCACCATCCCTCCTGTCTGCAGCACCTAACACCTGGAGAGGTGAAGGCATTTACCCACGATCCCTCAGCAAGCCTGGGATCATAACTGCGGCCTCGTGGGAATGGCATTTCTCAGCTGCATGCAGTCATTCTCCATCCAGGTCACCAGGGGCCTGAGGGGCCGTTTCTTCATTTGATGGGCAGCTCACACTGAGCGAAGGTTGGATGCGGGTGAAATGAAGCTCGGGCTGAGGGCCCTGGAGAGGGAGAGGCCTGTGTTCCCTGGGCCGCTTTGCACCTCTTAATAGACAGATATTTACAAAGCATTTGTCACATGCTCAGCGCTGTCCTCTGAATTGAGGTGCTGAGTCAACCAAAAGGGAGTGTCTAGGAAGCGGCCTGGTGCAGTGGAAAGAGCCAGCGCCGAGTTGGGAGACTCACCTCACTCTGCCAGCAGCTCCCTGGGTGGCCCGAGGCGAGGCCTTTGCTTCCCCACACCTGCAGAATGAGCGCCAGAGGTGGTCTCTGAGGGCTTCGCCAGCTCCCACTGGCGGACAGTTCAGCCGCTCTTTCTTCTGTTCTGTAACCACTTTAGGGGGCACGGGAGTGGAGAGGATACAGATAACTGTAACTCGAGGAAGAATGAGATAAATATAACAAGAGGCAAGAACAAGTGCTCTGTGGGTTTGCTGCAGGGACGGGGCTTGGGAAAGGCTCAGTTCAGAAGCCACCTCTTCGGTGATAGGATGCGGATGCGATGCAGATAAGGTGGTTTGGGGGTTCTGAGCCAGGCAGTCGCCGAAGCAGGCTGTCTTCCTGGGAGAGGAGGTTTCATAGCAGAGCAGCGGTCCCCGGCCTTAGATTTCAAACATCGGTATGTTGGGGAGTCTGTCCTCGGTTAGCCAGCGCTCTATTTTGCCATCTAAGGACATTCAAAGGGCAGTGAGAGTTCTGTTTACTATCACTACCACATAGTGAGAGAAAGAGCATGTTAACAGTTCCATCTCCCACAGAAAGAAGGCCGTATAATATCGGGGGAAGTACTTCTTCAAATTGAATGCATTCTGCTTTACTAAACACTGCATTGTCCATTAATTTTGCCGTAGACGGGTGTCCTTGTGTTTGACTCGAGTCAGGCTGCTTGGGTTCGAATCCTGGCCAAGTGACTTTTTCTCCCAGAGC